GTGTACCTTCATCTTTAATAGTTATTGATAGTGTCTTTGCCATCCTCATTCTGTTCCAACATGGAAGATACATGAATTTATCATGTGGAACTAAGTTCTTAAAATCACTGCCTTGGCATGTTTTTTTTTTGTTTTGTTTTGTTTTTTCCTTTCTCCTGTGCTCATGATGTGGCCAGCTTGTCTCTTCCTTTGGACTGTGGCATGTTCCACATCCATCAGCTGGCTGGTATCTTACAATGATGGGCTTTTGTTAAGTTTAGCAAGTGTCATGTTAAGGGGTTAGAGTCCACTTGTGGTCATTGAGATGGGCAGGTTGGTCACCACTGCATAGGCAGTTGCTTGGTAGCTATGTGTCACACTGGGGGAGGATGTGGCTAAACAAAAATGGTACTCTTCAGTCTTTAGCTTTATGTGTATGATGTGTATTTAACTTCATGTCCAAACACTAACATATCAGTTAATTAATCTGATGGGTGGCCTTGTCTTCAAATATAAGATGTTGTGCTGCTTCAGCCAACCGCTGAGGCTTTTCAGGTGTCTGAGGACAACTGGTGAATATCTTTTACTTCATTTTACTTGGACATGAATATTAGTCAATATTTGTTTGACTTTTTTTTTTTTCCTATATTTTTTAGTTGTAAATTGATCATTTATTTATTTATATGCGGTGCTGAGGATAGAACCCAGAGCCTCACACATGCCAGGCAAGTGCTTTACCACTGAGCCACAACTCCAGCCCCTGAATTTTATTCTTAATGTTCTATCAGAAAGTTACTTTTCTTTAATGAACGATTGCCACATTGTGATTTTATTTTTATTTTATAAGAGTGAATATCTTAACTCTTCCCCCAGTGGAATACATTTCTGATTTAATAATGACAGTGAATTAAAAAGTAATGTTATGACAGTACAGGCTAAAATGTTTCTTTTTAAAAAAGAATGACTTCAAGGTGTTTGTTTATTTTTTTATGCATGCCATATTGGAAGCTGAAGCAGGGGTGCTGTACCACTAAGCTACATCCTAAGTCCTTTTTATTTTTGAGACAGGGTCTTGCAAAGTTGCCCAGACTGACCTTGAACTTGTGATCCTCCTGCCTCAGCCTTCTGAGTAGCTGGGGTTACAGATGTGTGCCACCATGCAGTTTGTTTTTTTAAAAAAGAATTATGCATTAAGGGAAGGAGAAAATGTGATTTCGTGAGCTTTTCTCAGTATAAAATAGTGACGGTGTAAACCTCTAGTATTCTGACCCTCTGAAATTCCTAAAGCCAAAAATATTTTAGATAATTTTATATTCTCTGGCACCATTGTGACCATTTTCTGCTTGTTCAACATGAGAAGAGAAAGCAGTAAGTAGAATTTTAATTCTTTAACTGCTGATTCTAGTGGTGGTTATCTAGAGAAAGAGAAGGAAAAGTAGCCCCTGATGGCACTGGGGTGGATGCTGTGAATAGGCTGGGACCCCAGATAGCACTTCCCAGAGGCACCATCAGTGTGGATGCTGGTGCTAACCTCAGGACTGGTGCTCTTGTACCAAAGAGAGCAAGCAGCTGGTAGGTTATGGATTATTGAGATTATAGGTGGCTGGGCAGATACTAATTCTATACTTTGGTTAGCATTTAATGCTTGATGCTTATTATTCTAAGAGTTCAGCATCATTTTTAAAAAAGTATTTTTTAATTATAAACAGACACAGTAACTTTATTTTATTTATTTATGTGGTGCTGAGGATTGAACTCAGTGCCTCACACGTGCCAGGCAAGTACTCTACCACTGAGTCACAATACCAGTCCTCAGCATCATTTTGACAAGACATTTCTTATAGCTTGTTAGAAAAAAAATCCAAAAAGCAATAATTAAAAATCCCCCTAACCTTCTGGGGTTGGTGTAGGACAGCTCTTCCTTTCTGTGTTTAATACTACCTCACCTCCATCCTCCTGGCTAGGAAAGCATTTTTCCCTCCAAGAAGTGAATGCAGTTGAACACCTTGGAGCTGCATGGATGTTCTGTGTCCTCTGACCACCCTCATCCCAGACACCATTGTGCTGTAGCACGAGTGTCATGTTCTCTCAGAGCACCATGCCATCTTTTATCTCTCAGATATGGGCCAGACTCTCCTAGTAGATCTCCTTTCTGTCTTCTGGTACACATTTACTAAGTTGATTTTGATGCAACTGTGATGTAATACCCATGGGTTTTTTTAAAGAAATTTCTTTATGATCAAGTTCTGCTAATCTTAGAAATGGACCAAACTAGGGCTTCTTGTTGTGACCATCCTGGGACTGTTCCTGGACTCCTCCTCTGCTGTGAGGAAGTCTGTCTGTGACCAAAAGGTGGCTGTGGCAGCTCTCTATTTTGGACACTAGATAAAACTGGAACACCTCCGCCCATCTGGGCCTAGTCTTTTTTCTGTAAATAGCATTTAAACATGTTCTTAGGCAGGTACAAGACCCCTCTGTGGCACTGCAGGTGCTGACTGGTGGTGTTAGAACCCTGCAAGCCGGGTAATGAGGGCACAGCTGCCCCACACCATCCACAGAGAAGACCTGTGGTCTAGAGCTAGAAACTGAGCACCTTGGATCTTTTCCTGTCTTTTTAAAAGCTTGTCTTCTCCAAGTTGCAGTCATCTTGCTGTTTCTCACCTGGTATTGTCCAGTCTGTAAAGGGGGTCAAGAGGATCTGTCAGAGGAGCATCTGTAGTATCTGCCCTCTGAGTGCTCTCTGGCAGAAGTTGTTTTTCTGAAACTGTGGACCAGCTTTGGCATTTTAAGCAGATTTGTTGGCACCAGATTGACTAGCAGCAGCAGGGATGGAGCATCTTGTCTGTCTCACTTGGATTCTGCCCTAAGGACTCACAGTCTGTTTTCCCTGCAGCACCAAATACCCTATCACTGTTCAACGAATGAGGTAACTGAAGCAGCCAGGCTTCCAGCCCTCCATTGCCCAGCCATGGTCCCTCATGAAGCCCTTTCTGCGGAAAAGGCCAGTGAGCCTGGGCACCCAGCTCAGGAGGGCAGATGACTTCCAGTCGGTATAATTATCTGGGAGGACACAGAACCAAGTCCTTCCTAATTAGAAAACCAAATAACCTACTTGAATATTTGATTAGCATCTTCCAGATTTTCTTCAGTGAGGAGAGAGTCCCCAGCAGTTTGAAGGCCTAATTTTGTGTTTGTTACCACAGTGACTTTGCTTTTTAAACTGCCAGGAAAGAGTGTTCTGCTGTAGGGAAGCATGTACTCACCTAAGTTACTGTCCTGTTCATGTTTTACACCGAACACACCTTTCCTTATGTGACTACCTCCTTGTGCCTCCTCATGATGCAGTTTTACCTGCAGCCCTGGTTGTACCCCTGTGCATGAATTAGTCATCTGGTGAGGGCCCCCCACAGAGGGGTGTAACCTTGGGTGAGCCAGCACTGATACTAGGAGCTGTCAGATACAGCACTCTTATGCCTCAGTCTTGAATAGGGGATCTTGCAGCGCCCCACCCCAGCTACTTCTGCAGTTGTTCTCAGTGTGTGTCACTAGCCAGTAGCTTCAGCATTACCTGGGTATTGCAGATTCTTGAGCCCCACTCTGGATGTACTGGATCAGATTGGGGCAGGGCCCAGTGATCCATGTTTTAACAAGCCCTCCAGGTGATTTTGATAGTTTGAAGACTGCATTATAATGATATAACCATGTTTTGATATTTTTTTTTTAAATCTTTGGGGCCTAATGTGTGCTAGTAAGCACACTACTGCTGAGCTAAGCTCCAGCCCTTCAGGTTTTCTTTTAACCTATTGTTTTTTTGAGGCGGGATCTAGAGTCTAGAAAATGCAAACTGTAGTAACAAATAACTGATCAAAAGTTGCTTGAAAATGAGGGAAAGGGTAAGGGAGTGAATTATAAAGGAATATGAACTTGGGGGGGATTGTTTTGAGGTCACAGTGTCTTGAGTATATCTATATGTCAAAACTCAGCAAGTTGATTAAATCACACAGCTGTCTGTTATTTACACCTCCACAATGTTATAAAAAAATTTAAAGTGATACTTACCTGGGAAAGGCAAGGGACCAAGTGAGAAGAACACATTTTTTATGATGTTCACAGGTTCTCATCATATTGTTACATAAATGAGTAAAATAAGAAGGCTAACATGAAAACAAAATGGAATTTGCTCTCCTGAACACCATCATTGCTTGCAGCTGGCATTGGTGGCTAAAGCCCTGCTGCCTGTGAAACTGTCCTCAGTGCCGTGTTCAAAGACAACACTCCTGGCCATTCCCCTCCTCCCCCATCTTAGATCTCCCTGTATTGTCCTCCACTGTTAGTCACATGTCTGCTCATCTTTCCTTGCATCTTGCATAGCCTTTCTGCCTGATGTGGTATCCGGCCCAGATCCTCACTCTCCTGGGTTAGTTGAGGGTACCAGGAAGAAACTGGATCAATTTTGCATCTTTTACAGACCTAGTGAAAGGGGCATTCTGCAGTGTTTTACATTTCATTGATATGGTCTCTGAATTATTGTATTAAACATTTATACACCACGGTTACTAATAAAAAGCTGAGACTTAGGTTGACTTTTTCTTTTTTTTTTTTGTACTGGGGATTGAACCCAGGGGTCATTTACTGCTGAGTTACATTCCCAGCTCATATGTTGAGACAGTCTTGCTATTTGCTGAGGCTGATGTCAAACTTGTGATCCTCCTGTCTCAGCCTTCCAAGCAGCTGGGATTATAGGCTTGCACCATTGCACCTGGCTTTAGATTGATATTTCTTAGCAGTGCATTCTTTGGATGCAATATTTAGGAGGACTTCTGCTTCCTAAATTTATTCCAGTCAAACTAGATTTAGTAGTAAAAACCCAGGGGGAATTTTTCCCCCTCAATATGGGGATTGAACCCAAGACCTCACGCATACTAAGCTAACCCTTTACCACTGAGCTCCATTCCTAGCCCCAGGGGAAATTCTGTGAACTTCCTGACAGGCTGTGTCCTTGCTTCCTTGTCTTCCTGCAGATCTGAATTTTATCCACTGTAATCAGCACTGCTCACCTAAGAATTTCTGGATCCAGACCAAGGGCTCCAGCATTCACAGGATTCTGCAGCAAGTGAGTGGCCGCAGCATTACCTCTGTAGAACCTGGGGATGCTTTTGTCATATTGAGCACTATAGTCTTCCTGTGGTATCTAGGTGTGCATGATATACTTCCCAGTGGGCAGACTATAAAGCATTGTGACTTTGCAATGAGAGAAACTGATAAATCCAAAATCTCAAGAAACTAATAGTTTTCTTTTCTGTGATTATTAATACTCTTTATAGTAAGCATGTACTCATGAGAGTGAACTATATTAATTTTAGTTCCAATATATTTGAAGCCAATAGGATTCACTTGAGAGCTTAGAATTGGCCGAGGAAGGTAGTTACCATTTAGCTCTACCCAGGATCAGGTCAGGTCAGGTCAGACGCCCATTTAATTTATAGGAATGAACTTTTAATTTTAAGACCATGGCCTTCAGATTGCCTAGGATTATTTCCATGGAAATGCCACAGCACATTATCCAAATTTAATTGGGTTTCCAATGTGTTCATGTGTCACAAATATGATAGGAAATAGTTGTTTTTAATAATAAAGGAATGAGGTGATCTGGCTTTTCTGTTTTGATCCAATTCAGTATCTTTTTAGTCTATAAAGGTGGATCACTAAATACTTAATCTAATGTGAGGTCCATTTTTGCTTTTGTAAGATCTCTGGGTCTGGAATTAGATTTAGGAAAATACAGCCACCATAGCTGCGGGAGTAGGCAAAGTATGAGAACATGACTATCGGGAGATGAAAATTTCTGATTTCTAATCAACGTGGAATGCGATTCCCTTTAGTAGGGGCAGGGCCCTGCAAGATGGTTCTTCAGGAACTAGTTGGGCCTGTTTCTTCTGTCTTTAACTTTTCTGAAAATAGGATGACTAGTTCCACTTAGAGCTGAGTTTTATGTTGATTTTACATATTGGGGTCTTAGGCTACCTGTTAATCAATAGAAAATGATTTTTCTTCATTCTATTATAGAAAATAATTATTTCTCACCCTTTCCCCTTCCTACTTCACGAAACACTGCAGAAGGCTGTGATACATCAATAGCTTTTGAAGTACTGACAGATACCTGTATTTTGCAGGAAGGATATTGTGACTTAGGATTCCCTGGTGGAAGACAACCACACACTCTGGTCTTACCCCAACGATGCAAGTGTGACTGCTGGCATCTTCATGAGCTCCAGAGGTCACAGCACACTACCACGGACTCTCATGGCTCCTCGGATGATTTCCGAGGGAGATGTAGGAGGCATTGCTCAAATCACCTCCTCTCTCTTCCTGGGCAGAGGCAGTGTGGCCTCCAACCGGCACCTCCTCCAGGCTCGTGGCATCACCTGCATTGTTAATGCTACCATTGAGATCCCCAATTTCAACTGGCCCCAATTTGAATACGTCAAAGTGCCTCTGGCTGACATGCCTCATGCCCCCATTGGACTGTACTTTGACACTGTGGCTGACAAGATCCACAGTGTGAGCAGGAAGCATGGGGCTACCTTGGTGCACTGTGCTGCAGGGGTGAGCCGCTCGGCCACTCTCTGCATTGCCTACCTGATGAAGTTCCACAATGTGTGCCTGCTGGAGGCGTACAACTGGGTGAAAGCCCGGAGGCCTGTCATCCGGCCCAACGTGGGCTTCTGGAGGCAGCTGATAGACTACGAGCGACAGCTCTTTGGGAAGTCTACGGTTAAGATGGTACAGACACCTTACGGCATAGTTCCAGACGTTTACGAGAAAGAGTCCCGACACCTGATGCCTTACTGGGGGATTTAATGCCACCAAAGCCTGCATCGGCAGCCCCCGAGCAGTACCAGCGTCTGCTACACACTGTCTGCTCCCCTCTTCATCTTTCTTTTCAAATTGTTGACTTTTGGTTCCCCCTTAAAAGAATTTTTAAATTGGGTGTGAAGTTTATTTTAAGAGAGAGGGAGGGGTCATAGGGGAATGCATTTGTTGCTAGTAACATTTTTAAAACTAGCATTTTGAAATAGTGTTTATGAAAATCTTTAACTGGCTTTTAATCATTTTTAACAATTTGAACAGTTTAATAAGCTGTTTGGTTCTGCTTTTGGCACCGTGGCAGGTGCAGGAACAACTCAGTGCAAACATCACTGTGGGTCCTGACCAACCCTTTAAACAGGCTTTGCCCATGGCTGCCCACCAAACAGATGCTTAGAGAAGACTGATACCAGCTTCAGTCTCTACTGGATTAGCTCTCTTTCCTTTCTCATTATTTAGTGACTCTGTAAGTTAAAATAACACTAACCTTTATTATTTAGTTGATAACTACAATGAAATCTGCTGCAAAAACCCTCTTGAAATCAATGTGCCCAGGATTATATTAGCATTATTTTTAATAAATATATCTGCTTAACAGAACTTTTACTAATTTGGGGGTGTGTATGTATGTGCATGTGTTGACAGTGGAAGATGATATCCAATAACTGCTAACCTATGGCTCTAATGACAACTATGAACACTGCTTGAAATAGACCTCCCAGTCATGTCAGTGTTACACATCCTTGTGGAAGGCAGACATTAATATTCATGTTGGAACAGTGGAAGGTTTTTGTACTAGGGATTTACCTAGGATGCTTTACCTTTGGGTCAACCTAAATTACTTAGGGCCTAAGTTGCTGAGGCTAGCCTCAAACTGTGTTCCTCCTGCCTCAGCCTCTCAAGTCATGGCTAGAGTGTTATGTTCTGATAAATGATATGGTTTTCTCTTTTCTCTTGGTATATGGAATGCACCAAAGTATCGAGTCCTTCATCAAAGAAATCAGTTTTGTTTTGTTTTTTTCCCCGGTACCCAGGATTGAACTCGGGGGCATCTGACCTGACCTAAGCCACATCACCAGCCCTTTTTTTTTTTTTTTTTTGTGTGTGTGTGTGTGTGTGTGTGTGAATGGACCTTTATTTTGTGGTGCTGAGAATTGAACCCAGTGCCTCACACATGCTAGGTAAGCACTCTACCACTGAGCCACATCCCCAGCCCTATTGTATTTTATTTAAAGACAGGGTCTCACCGAGTTCTTTAGTCCTCACTTTTGCTGAGGCTGGCTTTGAACTCATGATCCTGTCTTAACTTCCTTAGCCACTGGTGTTACAGGTGTGCATCACCATGCCCAGCTAAAGAAATCAGTTCTTAACAGTCAAGCAGACACATACCTTCTGTTAACACAAAAATGCTCTAAACCAAACCTTAAGTATAAATGATAAACAAATAATGGCCTCCTTTAACCTTAGGTGTGTCACTCAGTTTCCTGCTCCCAATAAATTCGACAACACAATCCATGAGAGTTGGGATAGAAGTTTAATGACCAGGTTGCCCCTTGTTTTGAATGAGAGAGTCATCCAGAAATCTGTACCACACAGCAGGAAAGTCCCATCACTGCCTCATTTTACTTGGTCTGTTTTGGCAGGAAGCCACTGACAGGCCAGCAGGTAGGCACATGTTTAGACAAAAAAGTCAAAGATAAAATCTCCTGATTTCACCTGCTTTGTGGCAATGGTTTTCCATCTAAAAATCCTACCTTATTTTATACCATTTGCCCACTCTTATAAAAGTACATCATTCTTGCCTAAACAGGAAAATTAAAGTTTATATGGAGATTCAAAGGAACACAAATGTAACATTAGCACATGATCAAAGATAAAATCCAGGGATTGAGTCTATTAGGAAGCCCAGTTTGAGAACTGATAGTCTTTGAGTAACAGCTCAAAAATAATCATTGTACTATGAGGAAAACAGCTGGTCACAGGTATTATTAAAGAAAATTTCCTGTAGAAATCCCAGCAAACTCCACTACTGAGCTGTGAGAAAGAAAGAGCTTTCTTTGCGTTCTCGAAGCCTGATAACCTAAGTGCTGTGGCCTTAATTCATTCTGCTTGCTTTGCATGTGCTATTGGGGATTAAACCCAGGGGTGCTCTCCCTTTGAGCTGCCTCTCCAGCCTTTTTTATTTTGAGACGGTCTCACTGAGTTTCACAGGCTGGTCCTGAACTTGGAGTCCTGCCTCCGCCTCCAGAGAAGCTAGGGTTACAGGTGTGTGCCTCCACACCTGTTAGAAAAGACCAAAAGACTAGTAGCTTGAGATTTTTCTACAGTTGGCTTTTCTGTTAGAGAAGCTTAACACATGCTTAATTCAGAACAAACCCTGACAATATTTTAGAGATCAATCTTTATAATGTCTAAACATGGCAGTTAGGGCAATTGTTTATTAAAATGTAAGCAAAAGGAAAAAGCCATACCATCTTTTAAAATACAGGACCAAATTCCACATCACACCCAACTCATTTCACTATGGATGTGCAGCACTAGTTAATATGGCCACCACTACAAAATAATGAGATGCACCCCCATAAATGCTTTTTCAAAAAAAAAAACCCACTTTCTTACACATCAACATGAAGAATGGACTTAAGTAAAAATTTTGATATATTTTGTTAGAAAGGTATTTGTAAAGTGGCATTTTTCACCCTAGAGCTATTTAAGATTTATTTTTTTTTCAGCTTGACCTAAGGGCTTTTCAATATTTTTTTTGGCCCATACTTCTCCAAAGAAATACTCCCCAACCTAAACAAAATAGGCTAAACTCATCCTGCCCTGCATTCTAACATTTGCCAGAATGGTCTACAACAGACTATAATGCTCCCTTCTAAATGGCAAATATCTTTGAAAATGTCAGTTTATTAGCTGTTCACACAAAGTAACGTGGTTGACCTAGAAGGTATAAAGGGGAATTTTCATAGTGGTCCCAGTACAGAGCAAGCATTTCAAACGTATAGGTTATATAGCTCCTCATAATCTTTTTATAGCTTTAGGAACATGATGCTAATTAAATAGGAAAGTAGAACATATCTTTAAACAAATCAGACCAAAAAACAAAACACCCAAAGTGCCCACAATATGTGTATATATACAAAATATTCAAATAATTTAGAATATGCAACCCATATATAATGTTAACTAGTAACCATAGGAAAAACATGGAAACTGTCCTAGTATACTTTGTACTTTTTCTATCTCAAGCGTGTCCAGACAAAAATTAAATTACACAATAAGCCATAGAAATTTTAAAGCTAAAATGCAATGCCAAAAAGAAAAGTGCTTATTAATCACCATTCAAGCAGCGGGGTGAAGCTGCCCGACACAATACACAGTATGGAAATAAGTAACCTTGGTTACTGTTTCCAAGGACACTGGGCTCTTGGCTAACAGGAGCCGAGGTGAGGCTGAACGCAAAGATGAGTCATTTTAACAAACATGTACAAAGAAAAATCAGCCTGCCGGTATTCCACACTTAGCGAATCCTTATTGGTGGCAGATAACTAAACACTTCAAGTATTAAAGCAGATATTAAAAGTAGTGAACACTTTTCATCACAAAAGGTTTTTGTTGACATCTACTGAATTTTCTTCTGGCACCTCCCAAAGAGTCACTGAACCTATCACACTTGATAAACACAGCTGTGATTATATGCAGGAATTTAATCTGATGCATTCTGGAGTCAATCTAGGAAGGGAAACCAATCTAGTGAACAGGTACTTTAAAAAATATCATTGACATAGGCCACTGTGTCCATACAGCCTTCTCCCCAAAGTACTTCAGCAATATAAATTCCATCAAACTGGGAAACATTCTTGCTAAGGTAGATTCTATTATGGAGTCTGCAAGACAGTTAAGCCTGCGTGTTATTTTAGTGCCATAATGAAAACTGTTGCAGTCCAGGATGAAGTGGGGCAGAGACCTCAGGAAGTCTGCTAAACACCAGCTCACCTGTCCCGTTACAAACACCACACTCACCTTGCAAAGGCAGAAGGCTCTAGGTGACAATTCAGACAGCCATCTCAGTTATAAATAGCTGGAGATGGCGTCATTCAGAGCAAATGAGAAAAACAGACTTATCTCATCAAAACTTTTCTGTGCACCCTGTATACAGTAGGGTAAAGCAGAAGCCACATCAACAGCTGTTTAAAATGTTCTACGACTTTCTTAAAGAATATGTAAAAGGTGTAAGATGAAACAGCACAATTCCTCCAAGTTTTGTCCCAAAAAGAGAAAACAATTATGTAAAAACAGCAGATATCCAGACAAAAAAATGCAACCTTCTCAAAGTTTACAAATAAAAAACAAGCCTAGGTCAGAAAGCCTAAGTCATACAAAGTGAAACATACTAGATTCAAAATGTCTTCATGGAGCACAAAAGCAACAGAGAAATGTGTGTCCTAGATTGGTCCATTCTTCCTAGAAATAACAGCCTTTAACATTTGGCTCTGGGTCCTCTGATTTTATGCATTCGGTATAAGCGGCAAAGAAAATCTTACACCAGAGAACATGAGCCTCTTCCTTCTAAAATTTAGTGAGGTTGATGAACAGTTTCCTTCCATGCTTCTACGGCATGTATCTCTACCATAAATAGACACGTATCTTACTATCCTGCTCACTAGGCTGGGAGTTCCTCTCTCACCCTGAGTTAATTTTCAGATCTCTCACAGATATGCAGTGCTGGCCCCTATGCAGTCATCTTTGGAAATGAGGAGAGATGCCACTGCAGAGAGATTTTGTTTCAGCCTTTCCAGATCTTGTCTGGAAAAATAACTAGCCTTTTTGTGGGGCAAAAAATGGTTTTCAATGAAGGCTTCAAAGGGGAAGCATATTTATCCTGATGGGCCTCTGTCAGAAGTGGATGCTCCTCTCCACTGCAAAGGACTCAGGCATGTTTTGGGAAAGAGTTTTCTTGAAAGGTGACAAGGGTCAGAGGTTCAGTTGTGACAACAAAGATGGTACATCTGCCTTCACTGCCTGCTACTGTCCAATGGAGATGAGCAAAGTTTTTTTCTTTAAGAACATAGAGTATCAGTTTAATCACAATTTCCAGTTTATTCATTACAGATATTTACAAACCAAGTGCAGAGAAATGCGTTCTACTTCACAGGACCACGTGTTCTAGATATAAAATAAGCACTGGCTTGAACAGTCCTGCCAATACCAGTACACAATAATAAGTTATTTTTCTTCAAATGTTGAATTCTTCACAGTTTCAGTACTGCAGCAGCAAAACATTCTTTAAAGAAAACTGTGGTCCATATTTTCAAACATCTTTAAGAGAACTAGAAATAAGTGCGTGAACTTCTGTTGTCACATGTGGTTTAGGTAGGCAATTTTATCTCAAATCCAAGAGACTGGCAGTAGGAATCAGAGATCAAAGGTGGTGTATAGGAATGACGGGGAACTTCTATTGCGTTTTCTTTACCTCTTGGGGAATTCATAGATCCATGCAGGTGAACCTTGCAGTACTCATATTCTGTTTATTGACCCTGTCACCCTCAGAGGTGTGACAGAAAAAACACAAAAACAAAACAGTGCTTCCTAAAGGA